GCTGCTGCCAGGTCCAGATTGTGTCATGGGTCCCTGTACGGCCTCCCATTGCTGCTGCCAGGCCTGTAATCTGCCATGGGCCCCTGTACCGACTCCTCATGCTGCTGCCAGGCCCGTAATCTGCCATGGGCCCCCTGTACCGCCTCCTCATGCTGCTGCCAGGTCCAGAGTGTGTCATGGGTCCCTGTACGGCCTCCCATTGCTGCTGTCTCTATCGCCACACTCTGCCATGTGCCACTTTCAGGTCTCCTCACACTGCTGGTGGTTTCCATTTTTGTCATAGGGTGCTGTATGGCCTCCCATTGCTGCTGCCCGTCCACCGCCACACTGTGGCTCCACACTCTGGTTTTGGCCCCAATTCACCGAATCAGTCGAATCGAATTTTTGAATACTTCGCTCATCTCTAGTCACTTACCACATTTTTACAGTATATATATATATATACATATATATATATATATCTATTCTGTACATGAGTGTAATATATATATATATACACTCTATATACTATATACTATATATATATATATATATATATATATATTTACACTCATGTACAGAATAGATATATAAGACTGTTTACCTGAAACCACTGGCTTAAATACAGTCTTTTTACTATAAAATGTGAAGGCTGTCCACAAGGTTTAGGAGTGTGTCTATGGGAATGTTTGACCATTTTTGCAGAAGTGTGTTTGTGAGGTCAGGTACTGATGTAGAACAAGAAGGCCTGGCTTGCGGTCTTCACTCTGGTTCATTCCAAAGGTGTTCTATCGGGTTGAGGTCAGGACAATGTGCAGATCAATTAAGTTCCTTGACCCCAAATTTGCTCATCCATGTCTTTATGGATCTTGCTTTGCGTACTGGTGCACATTCATGTTGGAACAGGAAGGGGCCATCCCCAAACTGTTCCCACAAAGTTTGGAGCATGATATTTATATGCTGACACCTTAAGAGTTCCCTTCACTGGAACTAAGGGGCCAAGTCCTTCTCTGTCATTTTATGTAGCCTACCACTTTATGGCTGTGTTGCTGTTGTTCCCATTTGCATCCACTTTGTTATAACTAACAGTTGACCATGGAATATTTAGTAGCAAGGAAATTTCACGGGCCGCATTGCACAGGTGTCATATCACGGTACCATGCTTGAGTTCACTAAGCTCTTGAGAGGGACCCATTCTTTCACAAATGTTTGTAGAAGCAGTCTTCATGCCTAAGTGCTTGATTTTATACACCTGTAGCCTTGGAGGTGATTGGAACACCTGAATCCAATGATTTGGAGGGGTGTCCCAATACTTTTGGCAATATAGTGTGTGTATGTATATATATATATATATATATATATATATATATATATAATAATATATAATTTTTTTAAGTAGGTTTAGTAGCAGCCAGTGCTTGTGTTGTCTGCCACGTGTCTGGCACATATTTGCACCAGGCTGGCATTTAATGGACCAAACATTACCATCAAAGCACCATCATTGTTGGGATACAAGAAGAAAAGCATGGAAGAGTATATCTTTCTTCAACCTTCTACTTATGTTGTGTCATTATCCTCTTCATTCCTTACATATTGTTTCTTCATCCTTTCTGCTAAAAAACCTCACCAGATTACCTTCACTAGTACCAGTAAAGATATGCCTCGTGTTTGTTTTAGAAGACAGCTCTGCAAACTTGCTTCCCAGATTAGTAAGCAAAGGTTATAAGGCAATTTCAAATGGATATTTGAGGCCAATGGTAGTTTTCTGCAAAGATAGCTAAGACCGTTTATAGACAGGTGTCTATAATGTACCTTTATTTTATTATATTTTGTCATGTGAATGTATTTATGGGATGTGGGGGAGATTTGCTAAGACTGGTGCACTCAGAATCTGGTGTAGCTGTTCATGGTAGCCAGTTTCCCCATGGGAGTTCACTGTTCAGGACAAGCTGCCACAATGTGATTTCTTCTTGCTCTGCTGCTGCTGTCTCCCTTAAAAGGGCCCATGTCCAGGGACTCCAGTAATTATGGACTTGGACATTATCCATCACAGGTATGGGCCACACTGTTACTATGCACCTTATTGTTTACTACGGTAGTAAGTGCTAAGTAGTTACTGCTGTGTAATGGGCATCACTTCCACAGAAAAATGAAGAAGATGAATGGTTCCTGTAAATTCAAAGCCCTGGAGTGATACATTAAGCTGGTCAGTAATAATATTATTGATGTTATTAATGTTAATAGCAAATAAAATGTACACCCAGAAACAGCCCAAGCATGTTCCTCTTGCATGTTTATTCAGAAAGGCAGTAAACAAACACAACTGCAATGCAGAAATAATTCAATACAATAAGTTCATAAAGCATAAAGCAAAAAAACACCCCAAAAACATCTGTGGTATTGACTAAACTCAGGTCAATTCCTGATGAACAGTGTGTCCCTTATTCCATTCCCAGAAACAAAGAGAAAACATGTATATCTTTTTTATTGTTCAATCAGCCTACAGCAAGAAAATGAGCATCATTCAGCTTCCATATACAAAGGTCTGTGGACAGCTGAGACTAATAACAAGGTGTGGCTACCAGGTAAGAAGTGGCCCTAGGAATGGAGGCTGTTCCCACGTAAACATTTTCCAAACCTTCTGGGGTCCAGGAATAAGTACTGCATTTATTATGATTGTGAGAAAATAAAAAATGTGTTTTTTTCCATATCAGTCACAAACCCTGGATCCCCTCACCAAGTGTAGATGAGAAATGTAAGTGACACATATGCACCATCCACAATCCTGCCAGCCAGTACCTCACAAAATGTAGACTTTTACTATCTACATCTCCATAATACTAAACAATCTTCTTTTCACTTTTTTGCAACTGCTGCAGAAATTTGACTCACTCTGCTGTCTTTGTTCTCAGAATATATCAAATAATTACAGTCTCAATATCCATTTATAGCACAGGAAGTACAACAGTGTCAGCTTCCACGACAGCTGAAATTGTTAGCCATCTAAAGCTGTCATTTCTTCTCAAGCCAAGCTATATGTTTAATGACGAATATTTCACTTACTATTTTAAGCCTTCACTTCTACATGTATTTATTACAGTGAGGTAGATACATATTTTGCTCTGAAAAAGTTGATCAGGCTTTTATTCACTTTACATTTACTGCCAACAAGTCAACAGAAAAAAACACTCAGCTACAGGTAGAGTTCCTATAATTTCAGTTTCCCCAAAGCTTTAATGGTTTATATCACTGAAAGGCTTCAACCTAAAATTAACAGTTTTCCAGAGCTTTGACAGCTAGTGCACCTGCATTATCTTTTCATTAGGAAAGGTAACCTGACTGCTTACCGCTTTTGATAAGCAACACTAAGCACTGAAATATATATAAAACCCTATGAACCTAGGCATAATATTATAAGCTCAGCTGGTGGCAACAGCCTGTTCATTGCAAATGTAAACCGTTCACATTTATTTACCTAATTTAAATATAAAATATTGAGCTTGTACAAAAATGTTGAAGACGTTAATAGCATCTCAAACTGCAACCATGTCCTATTGCATGCACTTATAATTACTACACAGGCCAATTTGATTTTTTTGCATCCATCACAATTATTTTATAATGCCGAAAAATTGAAGTTACTTTTACTTGCAAAATGGCAACTAAAAGGCTTTCTGTACAATGTGTAAGTGCTGAACGCCTCTGAAAACTACCTTTCTTCAATACAATTTTCTGAAATTAAATTGTAGCTATCTTCTGCAACAGCATATTCATTATTGGTGAGATGAATTTCAAAACTACTCCTCAACTAAAGGGATGTAGAAACTACAGCTTCTTTTTACAATGAAATTACATTTTCCTGCAAAAAAATCTAGTTTATTTTTAATAAAAAGTCTAAAACAGATAAATGTCTATAATAGAGGGACATACATTCATTGTGATTTTTTTAAATAAAAAAACCCCACAAGAACCTGCACAAGCTATTAACAACGCAGATTGGAATGAGAACCAAGATTTTCTATTAAATAGGAATGAAATATTAATTTAACTTTTCATAAATAGCCCCCTGAAGAATTTAGCAAGCATTCAAGAATAAGAATTGTGAATCATTTTTAGTAGCAACATATGCAAATTTTTGCTAGTACATTCATTGAAATTGGCCTTGTTTTGTCATTGTTGCAGCAAGCATTCCTGTGTAGTGTGAATTTAAAAAATACTAGCTAAGCACTTAACGTTCCTAAACATGCAAGCTCTGGCTTAAAAGTTGTGAATTTTTAAATCCCACTGCAGATTGTGCCTGTAACAGTGGTTGAAAATGAATATTTAAAGATGTTTATTAATTTATGCTTATTACAATGGTTATTAATATCTCTAAAAGAGGCAACAGTTACTTTTAATTTGAACATGTCTTTTTAGTGCATTAGGCAACATCTACAATACTTTGGTTTGTTCCAATTCATTTCACAATTCAAATTACATAACTAACATGACATAGCACATTGCTGATAGTTTTTTTTTTTTTGGTCCTACATACCTCATGTATATTAAGTAATTGTAGATAAAAGTGTCTGCATTGCCCGTGGCAAGTTGTCATCTAATTTATTTCATTTGCTAACTTGCATTATAAAAATATGGATGTTATCTGATTGGTTCCTTTTGAACAAAAAATATTTCGAACAACCTCTTACTATCTTTTTATTTTCCTCGAGAGAACAAAAGCTATGCAAGATTATGCTTTTATCCACAAAAAAGTATATGTATTATGGGAAGAAACACTTGGGTTTGTCCTTAAACCTTCTCACATGGGAATATAACTACATTAATTTAAAGAGGACCTGTAATGAAGATGTTCAAAAAAGGTGGAGAGCAAAAAACTAGTCACCAGCATTGCCAGTTGACACAAAGGAGGACTGTCACTTATGGTTGAGATCATGTACCCAGCGTGCAGCTTGCATGATGGATAGTGGTGTGCTCACAGAACTCACTTGTGCAGGCTTCAGCTAACCTGGTACTGGGATGCACAGAGACAAGGATCTTGGAAAGCACAGAATACAGAACTTACAAGAATGGCAGGAGTATAGTGTAGCCCTGGGTTGCCGGTCTTACAGACAGGCAGGGCAGGGCAAGGGAAACACTTACTGCACTGGGGTGTAGGGCTCAGAGGGGAGACAGGGGTATCTTAGTGGCAGTGGGATGCTAAGTATACAAGAACACAGATGTAACAATATGTATGAGATACACTGAGGTGCACAGGGATCCCAGGGAATGCAGACTCCGGAAAAGATGAGGAACAGGAGGAGTCTAGGACAGGAAGGATACCAGTTAGTACTAACAGGGGAGAACTCAGCTTGCACAAAGCAGGAAGGGCCAAGGTGCAGAATCTAAGGAACCACCTTTTTTTTTCC